TTTATGTTAATTACGCTTGTTATATTCGAGATCGTCTTATTGTGTAGGCCCGTCAACAGGCTTGTAGGTGTGGCGAGAGGAAGGGAGGGACACACACCACGCACACGCACACGCACGCACACACACACACACACACACACACACACACACACACACACACACACACACACACACACACACACACACACCACACACACACACACACACACACACAAAAAACAAAAAAAAAAAAAAAAAAAAAAAAAAAAAGGAAGAGAGAAGAAAGAAGAGAAAGAAAGAAAGAGCCAGACAGCCAGACAAACGGACACAACAAATGTCAACAAACAGACACACACAAGAAACAACCCGAAGATCATACGGCACGCGCGTGTGTGCCTCGCGTCCGCCCCAGACACGACAGACAGACAGACCGACGCCCAGACGCAAGCCACGAAGCCCGAGGAGTTCCGAGACCCTCTCAGGCGACCCAGAATATAAGGCCACGTCTCGGCGATGGGTTTTCGGCGAACAGCGTGTTATTAGACCGCACTTGAGGGTAATCGCGTGTTGTTCCTGGCAATTAATGAATCACCTGTCTGCCCGCCAGTGGAGCCGGAATGATAAACTCGGCTTTTGATGAGATAATCAGCGTTTGGAGTTATTTATCATGTTTTCGACGGGCGGCCGCGGGGTCCTGGGCCGCCAGGGTAGGGATCTTGGGCTGTGGTTGTTGTTGTTGTTGTTGTTCTGGGTGTTATTGTCGTTGTTGTTGTTCTTGTTGTTGTTGTTGTTGTTCTGGGTGTTATTGTCGTTGTTGTTCTTATTCTTGTTCTTGTTGTTATTGTCGTCGTTGTTGTTGTAGTTATTGTTTTAACGACTGTCTTTTGGGATTTCTCTAAGGGTGGGATTTTTTTCCTTGAGGGGGAGGGGAAGGGAGGATGAGGTGATGGATGTGTGTCATCTTAGGCTTAAGGATTTTAGGGGTTCGAATGTCTCTCTCTCTCTCTCTCTCTCTCTCTCTCTCTCTCTCTCCTCTCTCTCTCTCTCTCTCTCTCTCTCTCTCTCTCTCTCTCTCTCTCTCTCTCTCTCTCTCTCTCTTCTCTCTCTCTCTCTCTCTCTCTCTCTCCCTCCCTCTCTCTCTCTCTCTCTCTCCCTTTCCCTCCTCTCCTCCCTCCTCCTCCCTCTCTCTCTCATCCTCCTCCCTCCCTCTCCCAACCCCATCCCTCTTCCTCTCCTTTCCTCTCTTCTCCCTCCACTCCCATTCCACTCCCCTCCTTCCTCCTCCTCCTTCCATCTCCCCTCATCCCAACCTCCTCTCTCCTCCTCACCTCCCTCTCCCTCTCCTCTCCCCTCACCCTCCCCTCCCTCTCGCTCTCCAAAAACAGCCGCCGCTCCGTGCCAGAGGGACATAAGGCCAGTTAACGCATGGCGGAGAAGTACGCTTATTACACGGCTATTATGCAACAGTGGCTGTTAGTCGCGCCTGTCTGTCACACACGTCACCCGAGAGTGCGCTGGCGTGGTTGGAGGGGGGGAGGGGGGGAGGGGGGAGGTGGTAGGGGGTAGGGAAGGGATGGGGTAGGAGTAGGGAAGGAGTAGGGTAGGGAAGGGTAAGGGAGAATTGGGTAGGGGGTAGGGAAGGAGGGGTTGGAGGGATAGAGAGGGTGGGAGGGTAGGATGAGGGAGGGAGGGAGAGAGGGAGACAGTGGGGAGGAGGATCTAAGGGAGGGAAAGGTATTCAAAATTAGGAGGGAAGGGGAAGGGAGGAAGGGGTAAGGAGAGAGAGGAAGTAGGGAGAGAGAGAAAGGGAGGAAGGGAGGGAGGGAAAGAGTAGATTATTAAGGGTAGGGGAGGGTTAAGAGAGGAAAGGGTGCTCAAAAGTATTAGGGAAGGGGAAGGGAGGAAGGTGTACGAGAATGAAGGAAGATAGAGGGGGAAGGGTACCCAAGAAGGAGGGAAAGGGAGAGGGAGGGAGGGAAGGCTACCCAAGGAGGGGACAAAAAAGGGTGTTCCTTGAGAATATTTTTTTACCTTTTTTCTTTCTCTCTTTCTTTCCTTTTTCGTCTAAAGAATGGGTTGAGGTGAATAGAAGAACAGAAATAAGCCGTGGATAGAATACGAAATTACGAAAACCAAGAATAACACGAAGAGAAAAGAAGGAAGGGGAAAAGACAAAAAGAAATGCTAATGGAGATAGAAAGAAACGAAATAAAAGTGGAAAATATTAAGAAATGCCCGTCTGTTGCAGTGAGAGAGAATTACACATAATGGCTCTTTACTTCAAATTGTTAACTGTTTATTTATGATTAAGATATTTCGGTTTCTCCTCGCTTGCTGTTTTGAGGTTATTATGTTTTGCAATATGCAGTTTTGTTATTATCATTATCATCATCATTATTTTTTTTCTCATTTTTTTTTTTGGGGGGGGGGCTTATAAATGTTTTTTTTTTTATTGTATTTAATATTTTTCGTAAGGCTTTATAAAATGGAATCTTTATAAAATGGTTATGTTTATGATGATTTTATTAGCATTTTTCTGCCTGCTTTTTCTCTCATTTTTTTATTTTTTATTTCCGTGTTATATATTTTCATCTTGGGCCTTTGTCCTTTTATCCTCCTTCCTTTCTCATATTTCACTTTCTATAATCTTCCTCCCTCCCTCCTCCCTCCCTTCTCATTTTCTCCGCTTCCTCCTCATTTTCCTCTTCCTCCTCCCTCCTCCTACTCCTTCTCCTCCTCCACCCTTTCCTCCTCTACCACCACTCCTCCTCCTCCTCTCCTTCTTCCTCCCTGTCTCCCCTTCATCCTCCTCCTCCTCTCTCTCCTCATCCTCCCCTTCCTCCTCATCCTCGTACTCGTACGCCTTCTCCTCCTCTCTCTCCTCCCCCTTCATATTCCTTCCTCCTCCTCCTCTCTCCTTCTTCCTCCCTGTCTCCCCTTCTCCTCCTCCTCTCTCTCCTCATCCTCCCCTTCCTCCTCATTCTCGTACTCGTACTCCTTCTCCTCCTCTCTCTCCTCCTCCTCCCCCTTCATCCTCCTCCAATACCACCTTCTCCCCTCCCCCTCCTCCCCGTCCTCCTCCATCTCCCTCTCCTCCTCCTCTCCATCTCCCCCTCCTCCTCCTCCATCTCCCCCCTCCTCCTCCTCCTCCTCTGTCTCCTCTTCCTCTACTCTACAGTTGCCGTATTTCGTCGTAATGGGACACTTTCCCTCAGGTCTCGTGGCCGTAATTGTCGAGGTCACGTGAAGGGGGGAGGGGGGGATGTGTGGGGCGGAGGGAGGGGGGGGTAGATTCGTTGTGTGTTGGATTTATGATATATATACCCCCCCCCCCCTCAAAAAGAGCATCTCTTTACTCCTCTCCTGTTTCTTTTTTGTTCTCTTGTATTTTCGTTCTTTGCCTGTTCTTCCGTCTCTTCCTCTCTCTTTATTTATTTATTTATTTATCTCTCACCTTCTCCTTTCCTCCTTTTTTTTCTTTTCGCCCTCTCCTTCACTTCATCTCACCCATCCTCCACTCCTTATCTTCTACTTCTCCTCCTTCTCCTCTCCTTCTTCCCTTCCTCTTCCCTCCTCCTCCTCTCCCGCTCTCCCTTCCCTCTCCTCCTTCTCCTCCTCTCTTCCTCTCACCCATCCCCCACTCCCTCCCTCCTCCTTCTCCCTCTCCCTCTCCCTCTCTTCCTCTCGCCCATCCCCCACTCCCTCCCTCCTCCTTCCCTTCTCCCTCTCCCTCTCTTCCTCTCGCCCATCCCCCACTCCCTCCCTCCTCCTCTCTCTCTTCTCCTTCTCTCTCCCTCTCCCTCTCTCCTCTCCCCATCCCCCACTCCCTCCTCCTCCTCTCCTTCCTCTCCCTCTCCTCTCTTCTCTCGCCCATCCCCCACTCCCTCCCTCCTCCTTCTCCCTCTCCCTCTCCCTCTCTTTCCTCTCGCCATCCCCACCCCCTCCTCCTCCTCCTCCTCCTTCTCCCTCTCCACGCTCTCAATCGTCCATAGATAATACTGGTTGCCGGCCGTAATTTGCATAGAACGGCCGCTACTTGTCAAATTACTGTTGCTCTGCTGGACGCCCATTGTCCGCGGGCGAATCGGGGGATGTCGGCGCCCTGCATCTTATGGGCGTGGGGCGTGGGGGGCGTGGGGGGCGCGGGGGGCGGGGGAGAAGGGGAGAAAGGAGGAGGAAGGTTTGGAGAAGGAGAAGGGAGGTGGAGGTTGGGAGCGTGAGGGAAGGAGGAAGGGGGTGAGGGGGGGGTAAAGAGAATGAGGTAAGAGATTGAGAAGACGGAGAGAGACAGACAGACAGACAGAGAGGAGAGAGAGAGAGAGACAGAGAGACAGAGAGAGAGAGACAGAGAGACAGAGAAGAGAGAGAGAGAGAGAGAGAGAGAGAGAGAGAGAGAGAGAGAGAGAGAGAGAGAGAGAGAGAGAGAGAGAGAGAGAGAGAGAGAGAGAGAGATGAAATCAAAACCCTTTTCGAGCCAGGAGAAGCGATACGCAAAGTGTGTGTGTGTGTGCGTGTGTGCGTGTGTGTGGTGTGTGTGCGTTGCGTGTGCGTGTGTGCGTGAGGGGGCGTATGCGTGGCGTCGCGGTTCTGGTTCTGCAGCGAAAGTGGAAGGAGGAGAATTTTTTGAAGCGTCTGGCCCAAAAGTTTGCGGATAAGTGGAGGAAGGAGTGGGTGGGGGTGGGGTGGGTGGGAGTGGGGGGGTATGGATTGGCAGGCGATGGGAGGGGGGAGGGGGGAAGGGAGCTTCTGGAGAGCTTTTTAAAAGTTTAGGCTCTCCGGGAATATTTTTGTGTATATACTGTTTACGGATTATATTTTGAGGTATGCCAGGATGTGGAAGTTTTAAATGATACATTGTTTCGGGATGAATAATAATACTTTGTGCGTAGTAATCTGATTCATACAGCATTTGTAATCCTGATTCATAAAAGAAACAAAAATAGAATCAATTGCAACCCTCACGCATATTCGACAAAAAAAGAAAGAAAACAAAAACAGAAACAAAACAGAAAACGACAGAAAAGGAAAAGAGAAACCGAAATCGCCTTTCCCCTCATCCCCCCCTTCTAACCACGTGACCTTCCCCTCTCCCGCAGGTGCTGTACAACATGGCCATCTGGGTGAACGACACGGCGCGCTGCCCGCCCGCCTCCCCTCGCCGCGCCCTCTGTCAACGTGTCCCTCACAGGCACCGTGCCACAGGAGCCCCTCACCTTCCGGCTGGACCTCCCCTGCACCGGAAGCCGCAGCGCCGAGGTCGACGTCATCTTCAACATCAACGTGACGTCACCCAGGCCGCGTCAGCCGCCCACGGTTCTCTACTTCAGGAGGAGGAAGATCTGCCTCGAGGGTGAGTTCCGGGGCGAGTGGAGGGGGAGAGGGAGGGAAGGGGGAGAGGAGGAGGAGGAGAAGAAGGAGAAGAGGAAGGGGGGGTGGAAAGAGAGGAGGAGGAAGGAGGAAGGAGAGGAGGAGGAGGAGGAGGGAGGAGGAGGAGGAGGGAGGAGGAGGAGGAGGAGGAGGAGGAAGGAGGGGAAGGAAGGGGAGGAGGGGAGGGAGGGGGGGAGAGAAGGAGGGGGAGGAGGAGAGGAAGGGTGGGAAAGGGGAGGAGAAGAAAAGATAAGGAGGTGGGAAGTGGAGAGGAGGAGGAGGAGAAGGAAGAGGAGGGGAAGAAGGGAAGAGGGAGGTGGAGAAGAAGGAGAAGGAAGAATAAGTGAAGAAAAGGAAGTGGAGGTAGAGAAAAGAAAAGTGGAGGGAAGAAGGAAAAGGAAGAGGAAGGAAGAAAAAGATTGGGAAGTGGGATAGAAGGAGACAGAGATGGAGACGGAAGGTGGAAAAGTGACGAGAAGGAGACGAGATAAACGAATAATAATAAGAATAATAAGAGGTTATATATTGAAGAACAAACTAGAGGAGAAGGGCAAGATAAAAGGGCAAAGGGAGTAAGAGAATATCAGTGAGGAGTAGCAAGGAGTAGTAACAGGAGGGCGAGCTGTCATCGACTCGTACAGCTGTCACAATTCCAACTCCATGTCTGTGATCAAGTAAAAAAGAGAAGAGAGAGAGAGAGAGAGAGAGAGAGAGAGAGAGAGAGAGAGAGGAGAGGAGAGAGAGAGAGAGAGAGGAGAGAGGAGAGAGAGAGAGAGAGAGAGAGAGAGAGAGAGAGAGCCCATAGAAGGAAATGTGTGGCCGGCGAGGAAGGAGGTGCCAGTCGAGTGCCAAGCCCCTCTATGGCCAGGGTTTTATGTCCTCCGACTCTCGAGTTAGTTAGACATTAGCTAATTCTACAGCCTCTTGAACCTCCCGAGGCCCCCGCTGCGTGGAGGCCCGGGAAGTGGAGCGGAAACGGGAGATAAAGGGGAGGAAGGAGAGGATAGATAAGTGGTGAGGTAGGGAGATGAGGGAGATATCAATAATGCTGGAGATGGAGAAGGGTGATAAAACGGGAGATGAAGTACTATTTCAAAATGTCATTTTATTCCCCCAGGACACTCAGCTGAGATGTATGCTCCTCACTTGGGGCCCCTGGGAGAGGGGGCGACGCTCCCCGTGGTGTATTACGTTGTGCCCGCCCTCGGGGGCCTCACGCTCGTCGTCACCATCATCGTCGTCGTCGCCTTCGTCAGGAGGAGGAAGCTGAAGAGGGACCGGGATCATAGGATTCTTGGGTAAGTCAGGTGAAGTGAGATTTTTTTTTTCTCTCTCTCCCTTTTCTCTCCTTTCTTCTTTCTCCTTTCTCTCTTCTCTCTCTCTCTCTCTCTCTCTCTCTCTCTCTCTCTCTCTCTCTCTCCTCTCTCTCCTCTCTCTCCTCTCTCTCTCTCTCTCTCTCTCTCTCTCTCTCTCCTCTCTCTCCCCTCTCTCTCTCTCTCCTCCCTCCCTCCCTCATCCTAATCTCAGTCTCACTGCCTGTCAGCGGCCCCTTCCTTCTCTTCTCGTGTCAATCCCTGCCCTTCCGCCGCGTGCATCCGCCCCTAACGCCGCTCTCCTCCGCAGCATCAACGACCTGGGCGTGAAGGCGCGCCCGATGACCAACTCGACGCTGCTCCGGGCGGCGACGCCCAACAACAACACGTACACGCTGCCTTCCTCCGTCACCATCAACTCGTACGCGTCTCTGAGGAAGCTCACCACGCCCATCACGCCCCTCACGCCCCTCACGCCCGCCCACTCCCTGCCTCACGCCCCTGCCACGGTGTCCCTGACGCCGTGCAGCAGGGAGAGCGGGAGCAGGGAGGCCTGCGACGCCTCGAGGGACAGCGGAAGCAGAGACACCTGCCAGAGCTCCAGTTCCCTCAGCAGATCGGAGGTGATCGTGGACCCTTCGGCGGCGGAGCTGCAGGAGAGGTTCCGCCAGATGGAGGTGAGGGAGGGGGAGCCTGTGGTAGCCTTAGAAGTATTATGCAGTATAGTTGCAAGTTGCAATGGTAGATTGATGGGGAATGATAGCTTTACGCTAGAAGTATTAAGAGATAGAGTGGTCAGATAATATTAAAAAGGAAATATATTTGATGATAGTGGCGTTCATAACACTAACAGTTATAGCAGAGAGCCCCACTCATACCCTCCCCCCCCCCCTTCCCCGCAGGTGGAGCGGCAGCGCGTGCGGCTGACGGCGGTGGCGCACGAGGGCTCCTTCGGGCGCGTGTTCCGCGGCTGGATCCAGCGCGACCGGCCGGAGCAGGACCAGCAGGTGCTGATCAAGACGGTGACGGAGGGCGCGCCGCACGACGAGGTGGTGGCGCTGTACCGCGACGGGACGCACCTGTTCAACCTGTACCACCGCAACGTGCTCACCATGGTGGGCATCTCCTTCGCCGACAACTCCTCGCCCTTCCTCATCTACCCCTTCCACGGATATAGCAACCTCAAGCTGTGAGTCGCTCGTGCTTGGGCGCCTGGGCGCGTGTGTGCTGGCGTGCGGGCGGATAGGGCTCTATATGTATATATATATATATATATATATATATATATATATATATATATATATATATATATATATGTGTGTGTGTGTGTGTGTGTGTGTGTGTGTGTGTGTGTGTGTGTGTGTGTGTGTGTGTGTGTGTGTGTGTGTTCGTGCGTGTTTGTGCGTGCGTACGTGTGTATGTGTGCGTGCGTGTGTGTGTGTGTTTTGAATAGATAAATTGGTAGATAGATTTAATGAAACCACATTTTGGAAAAAAAAACTTTTTGCTCATTTTTTCCATCACGGTGACTGGCAAAGGGTTTACCTTAACAATTTATTGATACCTAAATGTTATTAGACAAACGAACCGTGAAGGTGTACCCGGTGTATTGATAATCAAGGTTGCCAAATACCTACACAGCAGATTAACTCTAATTAGGCAAAGCAAATATGAAACCCGGGTTGACATAGGATCTCCACTGTAATTTGGTACTAAAGAGCCCCGCCTTTTACGTCCCGAAAAACAGGGTGGACAAAAAATTATATGAAATGGTGTGTGGTTTCCTTTTTTTAAGAGTGGATTCAACAGAAAATGGTATTTCTGTATTATTTTGGGACCTTTGCCACACTTTTCTCTTCCACATTATTCCACTTGAGGTCTACATTTCCAAATAACTCCACATAAGGTCTACTCATCCACATAGACTGACTAGACTTCCTTGAAAACTCTCTCCCTTTTACAGAATCCACTATGACCTCTTTTGCTCTTCCATTGAACTTCATCCACATGGCTAAGTGACCGCTTTCTCCGTTTTCTTCCACCTAACTCCACATATACTCAATCTCGTTCTTCCACATAAGCTCCCATACTTATCCCCATAACCAAAAGCGACCTGTTTTCGCCATTCCACTAGACCCAACATAACCCCTCATACCTTTCCACATGGGCCCTATATGACCGCTCTGTTACACTCATCCTCTTCTTACTCTTTCACTTCTTCCACCTCCACAAAACCCTACAATGACCTCTCGCTCCACCTGACCCGGTACTTGACCTAACCTGACCCATTCTCACTCTTCCACCTCCACAAAACCCTACAATAACCTCTCTCTCGCTCCACTTGACCTAACCAGACCTATTCTCCCTCTTCCACCTCCACAAAATCCCACAATAACCATGACC